CACCTCAGAAAAGGACCCTTGGAAAACGCTCCTCAACCTCCAATTCTTGAATGGAACTGACAGAGGCATGTACTGCGGCTGTCGATCGTCATGAAGTATCCATCTGTACTCCAAAACATGAATATAGAACGAAATAAAAAGAAAATATAAATAAAAGAAATCTTAATTCAACTCTTTAATATAAATTCAATTAAATAAACCTACTGGGTCCATCTGAGTGTGCGTCAACGTGTTTCATAGTGAGCTTCAAGGTAAGCTCTACATACTCTTAAAGGTAAATTCTGTATGTCTGCCATGTTTATTCCACTGATGAACACAAATTTCAAACATACCTGAAGATTAGCACAATCTTTTGGAGCACAATCTTTTGGGTTTGACCAAAGATGACAGACCAGCTTGATTCCTAGAATGACTAGGAAAAAAAATGTGAGTGAAATAAATAATATATAAAAATATATATTACAAAAAGAAGAATTTAGAATTTACTCACCTTTAAATCCTTCCATGTCATGAGGGGTTGTGAGTTCTTGCTACAAAATGGATCATCGTTGGCCGTGTGGGCCCATAATCTATGTGTAAAACACCCCAATCTACGGGGATGGTCTTGAAAGGAACTTTTCTATTGCCCATAATCCATGTGTAAACCATGCCCACTGGTACACTAGTTTGTAATGGTCTGACGTTGTTTCAGCACGCCAGCAGCAATCCTCCTGGCTTTAGAGGAATATCATGCTCTACATCGGTGGAAAATGATCTTCGCCTGGCAAAGGTGGAGAATGATGACTGTCGAAATCGTTTGACTAACAATGCCATACTGTCACATGAAAAGAGAATGAAAAAATGGGAATACGTAAACAAGTTAAAAAAAAAAAACTTAAGAAAAGGGTGTATTCGTTTATGATTCTAAGTGACATTCAAAGATTTTATTAAAATTGAAGATTTGTTGATTTCATGAAATCATTACTACTCTTAAGTCTAAAGATAGGATTTGGTGTGGAATTTGGCATATGTTATTTGTGTTTAAATTTCATAAAATCTTATATATTGCTAACAAATGCAAGTGTTAAATAAGGAGGGTGTATTTGTTTAAGATGTTCAATGACATTTTAAGAATTTTTTAAAATCCAAGACTTTTTACTTTCATATTAATTTTTTGAAGATGTTTAATTAATTTTTTCAGTATTAACAACCAATTTAAATGTTCATGTAATTTATATATTTCAATTATTACAAATGCTATAATTTTAATAATGATATTTAAATATTTTATCTTATTTACTCCTTTTTTGGTTAAATAGTCTATAATGAAAATTATATATATATATATATTTTTTTTTTACAACTTGAATCATTTTTTGATGTATATAGATATTTTTGATGTGAAACTCATAATCACAAATAATTTGATTGATATATTAAATTTATTTTTTCAGTATTTTCAATAAAAATGATATATTCAATGGATATATACCTTTTAATGGTTAAGTTGACTACATTTTAGCAAATTTAATCAATACAGTAAATTATTCATTAAGTTAAGATGATTCAAACACAATTATTCTTGTTATTTGTTATATATTTTAAGTGGTTATGATCGAAGACCATAAGTAATAAAATTAGTATCTACAACCATGAGATGGAATTAATCCAATCATTTTTCATAATAATGAATAATATTTTTAATTGTGACAAAAATTACTACGAAATCAATATTATGATCTTATTGAAAATATATGTAATTAGTCAATGTACCATTTAAAGTCAATTTATAACTATTGAATATTAGCAAGTGAGTAAACAAAAAGTAATTAATGTTCATATATAACATTTGCTAATAGATAAAGGTTAATTATATGCTAAATATAGATGAAAATATTTTCCCGCCTAAATCTATGTCCATTATATAGATATAGATATAGATTCATACAACTTTTTATATTAATTTTTGTACGGCCTTATGATCAAAATATTAAATTAAGGAACATAACATGTTGAATTTAACGTCATATAAATTTTGTAAGGGATCCGATAAGTTATCCAAATCATGGAACAACATGTATCTTGGGGCATACCAAGCTGCAATCGACGACAACAATATCCCTGACCTTTCTTCAGACGAAATTGTTGACCGGAACTACATTATTTACCGCTCGTGTATTTGTCTTGGAAGTTATCAGGTACAATTCGGTTCTACTTTGAACAAAAGATTTGTTGCAGCTATTGTTTTTTGTATTAAAATTGAGGTTTGCTGAATTTTGTGGTTATAAGCTGGATGTCAAGAGATATCTTTAGTAATTTTAATTATTTTTCATGCGTAGCGTGTGATTGACGAGGTTGATTCAGCAGCCGCAATTGATCTTCAGGCCGTCAAACTGCTTAAGCCATTGTATTTTTCAAGCCCAACAAACAAGTTAATCTAATGTGGTTGGTTGTTAAATTAATGTTGTGTAATAGAATGTGAACTAGATATAGACAATAATTGATAATGAAGTTTTAAAATTAATGTAGTATAATGACATAATTTAGAAATATAAAGGTAATACTAGATTGAAATAAGGTTATATATAATTTACATGTAAAACTTTGGGAATGTCACTATGCTTTTCTTCGTGCCACCTATTTTGTGCGCGCTACTGTTCAGTTATTTTCCCATCGTGCCCCAACTCTCGTTGAGTAATTTTGTCGGTAATTGTTTTACTATATATTGCTTATGGTAACTATGCTCAATGACATTATGTAGGAAATGACAATTTTGAGAATCTATGAATGGCTTGGAGATCCATCCAAAAGACACAACCCCACCTTTCATTTGATTGCGGGGATAATGTTCTTGAATGAGCGGAATTACAGTTGAGGCGTTGAAGTTTACAGAAGCTTGGGGATCAATGGAACTGTAAGTCATTGCTTAATATGGTGTTTAAATATATCAACGAAGAAGTTTTATGCATACAATATCATTTTTGAATTTTCAGCACACAACCAAACTCACCTTAATATTGGAAAAGCATTGAATATATTTCATCTGTTATCAAGGAAAGTATGGAATGAGTTGAATGTTACAAAACGCTTTGATTACTTGCTACATGGACATGGGCAACTTTGACACTGCTGAAACTCTTCTACTTCAAGCCCTGAAACAAGTAGGTTAAATTACTTTATGTCGAATGAATATTAAATTTGTGATGTAGTTTACTAAAGGTTTTTCATGCTGTTTTTTTTTTTTTTTTTTCATTTGTCCGACATCTGAGGTTTTTTACGGTGACACAGGGCGTAAAGGATCCAGGATTTTTTCAAAATCTGGTTGAATGTAGACGTAAGCCTGTAAACCATCATGATCGCATACTGCCTCAGGTTTGTGTTTGAAGTTGTCCTCTATAATAGGTTCTTTGAAATATTTGCATAATTGGAATAACCAGAAGTACATGAACAGTTTTGAATAGGATAAGTCATCTGCCTCTGCCTGCCTCTGCCTGCCTCCACCATCAGAAGCTGTGTAAACTCGGGATGCGTTTGTGGAATTTATCATGGACGGGCCCAACCCGCCATTTTGCCGCATGTCCAGTGAGTTAGAGAGTTTCGGAAGGACTGGTCAGGCGCACCCATCTTTACGACTCGTATGAGTCACCTTGTCTAAACCAGTTTATTTGTATATGAAAGTTGTGGAGTGGAAAAAAAGGCAAAGCGCAGAATGCTCATGACCTATATTGAGCTTAGGGAAAGAAAATAATTCTGATTGATGTTGCAAATACTAATTACCTACATATGCTACTCTAATGACTAATGATGGGTGATTTTGTTAAAAAAAAAATGAAACTAGTACTTTGACATATTTTTATTGGTAAATTAGTAAAAACTAATATCCACCTTATCTTATGTTTTTTACAAGGCCTAATTGCTTAAAAAACCATGACCTTTTCGAAATTTGCATTTTTATGATCCACTTTTAAACTTGGCAAAATTATGCACCACTTTCATTATTGTTTCCAAATCTATGATCAGGGCCCAATTTCGGGCTTTTTTAAACGACGTGGCTTTTTTTTTTCAGACGTGTCAATTGTTGTTTTTAATCGATATTCCACGTCGCAAAGGCCTATATAAGACTGAGAATCCTTCAATCGACGACATCTTCTGCAAAATTCCCAAATTTTCGAAAAACCCTAAATCGACGATATCAGATTCAAATCGACGATATCAGATTCAATTTGAGATCGACTAATTACTCATTTCGAAGAACTTTTTTCTTTCAAAC